TTTGATCTCCAAATGTAATATTAGTTTTGAATTTTTCTTATTTTTTTGTTCGCTTCTGAAATGAGAATAAGTTTTTTGTTAAAAATGATTTTGAATTATAAGTAGATTTTGAAATATAGATGTTATTAGTTTTTGAATTATTTCGATATACTAGTGTTGTCTGTTTCACATTTAAATTACATATTTCTTTATACACCAAAGGTTTTCGCACTGTTTTGTGTCTGTTTTTATAGTGGGTTTGGTCTCAAATGTAACATGAATTTTGAGTACATATTTTTTGCGAGAGTTAATCCCCTCTACAAAACCTATGGATATGTTATTAATTATTAATAACTATTTTGTTTGCATTATGCGATGGAAACAGACGGTGCGTGTGCTTTGGATGACAGTGTGAGGGAATGGATGAATAGGGTCTCCAACTCAGGAGTCGATGACCAGACTTCCAGTTCAGAGACGAGTGATCCGCTCGCGAGATCTAAACGCGATTCCAATGGTAACAGTTATGGCAATAATAATAATTATCGGCATAACTTCTGGACGACGGCTTTCGAAGCTCAGGGACGTATCGGTCCCGCCATCAAGTAATTACACTCTCATTACTATCTCTACGATCGCTTTTATCCATAATTAAAATCTTAAATAAATTGACTTTTGAATTAATATTTGCTTTCGTTTTTTCGTGTCTCTCTCTCTCTCTCAAGACCTCAGCAGTCGATCCCACGCGACACGCCGTTCGTGCCGACCCGTCGGGCCTGTAGTCTATACATACAGACCGATACATACCTCTGGGACCACATCAAGAAGAACGAGCCGTCGGACGCCAAGGCCCGAGAGGAGATCGCGTCGCTCGTCGCCCAACACATCAAAGCCGTGAACCATATCTACGAGACGTCGGTCTTCAAAGACATCTATGGCCTCAAGTTTATCGTTCAGAGGCTGAAGATCAACGACTCGTCGGCCTGTGATAGCACTCACAAGCGGGAGACCAATCAGTTCTGTTCGCCGAACATCGATGTCTCCAATTTCCTGAATCTCAACTCACAGTTCAATCACAACGACTTCTGTTTGGCCTATATTTTCACGTATAGGGACTTCAGCGGCGGCACCCTTGGCCTGGCCTGGGTTGCCAGCACCTCAGGTAACCATACCGTTCCCTTTCGTGGCATTTGTTTATGTGTTTCTAAGACATTGTTTACCCATTGCTGTCATTCTTGTTATCATATATTATATATGAGTTTATTTGTTGGGGTTTTTCTCTACAGTATAAGTCGTCTTAACGTCTCATTTATTTTTCTCTGTATTTTTATTTGTAACAAATTTTTTCCTCTATTTTTGTGTTGTTTTTATGATTAATCGCATTAATATCCAAAATAATTGGACCGTTTATAATGAATTACGGCATTAAAAGTAAAATTTCTCTCCCATTCCTCCCGGAGCGCTCTCACCCATAGTGCACCACTAGCTTAGGCTTACTGACTGAATAGAAATATTAGTCCTATTTTTGTGTCTCTTTTTCACTCAATAATGTAATAAATGCTAATTTGAAACCAAATGCCAAACCCTTATCTTATCCTCACTTTTCCTCATTCACGCAATGCTTTTGTTTTTTTGAAATCCATTTTTTGTGCTTTACTTTTGCGCTCAAAATATTTTTTATGAGTTAAACATATTTTTTGTTTAGCTGTTTTGTGTTTAAAACATAATTTCCTGAATTTTGTTTCTTGCCTTTAATATAAGTGACTTTCTTTCAGTTTGCAATGAAATTAATTATCCGTTTGTAATCTTTTTTATAAGAATTTATTTTCTGTTTAGTTTAATGCAGTCTTTTTAGCGATAAATAGAGTCATAATTAAAGGAGTTTTTCTATTAATTGAATGAAACTACTAATTAAAGTCTGATATGTTTTACTCTCCAATGATAACGAAGTTTTCTCTTGCTTTAATTCAGACATAGTATTTATTTTCAAGTTTTAAAGTTAGTTGAATTCAAAGTTATGGCGAAAACTGGTCTCATATGTGTGTTTTGGAAACCTTGAATTCATAAAACAATTTGCGCTTTGATTATAGTTTAGATCATATTTTAAAATAAAAGGTTTAATAATAGAGTTTTGTATTAGAAGTTGCATTCACGGCTCAATTTATGATTATTTTTATGTAATTTTCAGTTTTGAAATAAATTATTTTTCTATTGCATTGGTTTGAGTGATACGTTTTGCTAATAAGATTTTCATTAGATATGAAATTCACGGCAATTTTCAAAAAAACGACTTGTGATTGAAATGTGAGATTAATTTCCCTCTCAAACCCGTAATAAAGTAGTTATGTTTGAAATGAATCATAATTTGACTCGAGTTTCATAATAATTTTATGTTCAGCAAAAAAATCAGTCAAATGTAAAAATGTAAACTGAATTAATGAAATGATTTATAATTAACTTTTTTTAAGAAATTAGTATAAATACACTGAATATGACTGACAAACAGATTGGGAAAATATGAGAGAAATGTCATGTTTTATGCTGAGAGAGAAATATATTGTAATTTTTATGTATTATGTAAAAGTTTGGTTGGTTTAGCATTCATTGGAAATATATTTTTGTATTAAGTCTTCAGTTTCGGGAGTCAATTATCAACGAGTCGGTCGTTAAATATAATATGTTTGAGAAAATCATTGACTAAAAAAGTTAATTCACTTATATTTTTGTGAGATTTAATGACTGATAGTAAATAACTTTCGCGTACAATATACGGTACACTGTATTGTCAGTACAGTACCACTGTTTGTGCCATTAATTTGCGTTAATTTAATTGAATGTATTTTTCTCGCTGGCACTGCAGTTCACAAGTCATGGCATTTTCATAATACCAGTGCAAACACTTATTTAAATGATTGAATGAATTAAAGAAAAACCTAACATAACGTTACAGAACAGTGAGAACAGATCCATAGAGAGTGTATGGCAAACACATTACACTCATAGCGATAATCAACATTAATTCACTCGACTCTAGTATATATAACCACATACAGTAATTGCATAACCATTGACTGAAATTAATAGTAATTTATTTTTATTGTTATTAGTTTTTCCTCTCGTTTTATTAATTTCTATATTATATACCCTTTTATTACCAAAAATACTTAATACTAGTAATGCACTCCACTATCGACTTCATTGTCTTTGGAGTCATTAAACTTTATGTTAGAAATTGAATGAAAATTCTACTGCTTTTATGAATACATTACATAAACGGCTAATAATGATATCGATATTAAGATCAATAATTTTAATGATAATAATTATAGTAATGCTCTAAAAGTTATTAAACTAAATGTTTCGTATGTTTTGTTTTGTGCCGACTTTTCTCTCTCTCCCTTTGTTTCAATTCATATCAATTTATGCCACAATTCTCTCGTGATTTGCATTAATTTCAATATTAATATTGTTTTCCTCATTGTTTTTTTTTGCATTATTTTACGTCATATTCAGGGGCGTCGGGAGGTATTTGCGAGAAATACAAGTCCTATACGGAGAACATCGGGGGCCGTCAGGTGCAGACCAAACGGAGTCTCAACACCGGTATCATAACATTCGTGAACTATAACAGTCGAGTGCCGCCCAAAGTGAGTGAACTGACGCTCGCCCACGAGATCGGACATAACTTCGGGTCGCCCCACGACTACCCCGTGGACTGCCGGCCCGGCGGCTCCCAAGGGAACTACATTATGTACTCGTCGGCCACGTCGGGCGAGCGGCCAAACAATAATAAGTTCTCGTTCTGTTCGGTGAACAACATATCGTCGGTATTGCACGCAGTGTTCAACAACGAGGGTAAGGATAACTGCTTCCAAGAGGATAACGGGCCCTTCTGTGGCAATAAGATCGTGGAAGAGGGCGAGGAGTGTGACTGCGGGTACGACATGAAGGAGTGCAACGAGAAGTGCTGTTATCCGCGAGAGATCGAGACGTTCAGAGCCCGTGAGCCCTACGCCAAGGTATGCATGACTTGAGTGTATTGTGTTTTTTTGTGTTAGCTTTTTGGAGATAAATATTTAGAAAATGAATTTTATCTCCACTATTGAGGCTACGATGCGATGCACCGTTAGCTGTAGTGATCGGTGTATGTGTTTGTGTGATATCTTTATAATTAATTGTTATTTAGTCACAAAAGTTTTCACATTTAGATTAGTTGTCTGTAGCGGAAAGGAACTGTTGAGCTAATGGTTTGAATATTAGATTATATTTTTTTGTAGCGATTTATAAATATTTGCAGTAAAAATAGTTTTTCGGTTATAATTTTTTTTGTCTTTTGAGAATTATTAAACAGAACTTTTTTAGTTATGTTTTTTCACTAATACTCTAATGCAATGCCATTAATCATAATGTGATTTATCTTTTAAATTCCTGATCCCATAGAGACAGTGAACGGCAGATATGTTTTTGTGTGTATTATTTAGGGCTCGTATACGAAAGTCTACTCAATTTAATGATTGAATTTTTGATTAATCGGTTTTGTTATAAAAATTTTTCCCTTTCATTTCACAGCATTTTCTCATTCTGTGCCACAATTAAAGATGAATTGAAACTAATTTTGTTTTTATTGTCCTCTTTTTCCCTGCGATTTGCTACCGACAGCCGTGCCATAGGAGGCCAGGATTCAAGTGCTCGCCATCGCAGGGCCCCTGTTGTACAGAGAGCTGCGATTTTGAGGGCAAAAGCAAACAATGCCGACACGAGTCCGAGTGCTCGTACGAGGCGTTGTGCTCGGGCTTCTCGCCCCACTGTCCCCGTCCGCCCGCCAAAGACAATAAGACTGAATGCAACGGCGGAACTCAGGTTTGTTGGGCCGGGGAGTGCGTCGGCTCTATCTGCCAGAAGTACGACTTCGAGGAGTGCTTCCTGACCGCCAAACGCGGCTCCAAACCGGACGAGATGTGCGAAGTGGCCTGTCAGCGGCCTAACGTGTCCGACACGTGTCGACGCACGTCCGATATCGACGCCATGAGCGGCATATCGGGCCTTAAGCTGCGTCCCGGCTCGCCCTGCAATGACTTCCAGGGCTATTGTGATGTTTTCCAGAGGTGTAGGGCGGTGGACGCCGAGGGACCGCTCGCGCGACTCAAGAATCTGTTACTTAACCAGAAGACTCTCATGAGTATTAAGCAATGGGTGACTGTAAGTGCCTTTCCATACCATTCCTCGTATTTATAGTCTAATTACACGTTTACTCGACTGTCACTTCACTCATCAGAGAGTGGCGTATGATTTGCAGACAGTTTCCACTATAGTTTAAATTGATTTTTAATTTTCTATTTTAAGTGATTAAGTAATAAATCAGTTTTGATTATTTGATTTCCATACGCAATTCATCTACTGTTGATAGTGGCGTCCAATTATATTCAGTGAACTCCTTATAGTGTGAACCGAGAAATTGTTTCTCACTTTACTGTGAATTATATATATATTTAGATGTTTTTCATATAAGCCTAGAGTTAAGTTGAGGGAAAAGTAAAATATTTGCTGTTGTTTTGCTAGCGTTTAATTGTATGAATTTATTTTGTACTCCAATAACTCTCATCCACTCTCATTAATCATTACAATTTGATTGCCATTTAATAACAGACTTATTGGTGGGCCTGTATGTTGATGTTAGTGGCGATTATGCTATTCATGGCCGCATTCATCAAGTGCTGTGCCGTTCACACCCCGAGCTCTAACCCCAAAAAGCGACCGGCGCTCAGACTCAGCGACACATTGCGAAGACCTGCCGATACTCTGAGGAGAAAGGTATGCATTAGTAGTCATCATAAGACTAGTAATAATCCCCGATATGTATGGTATGCGATATGCGATGCCATTCCGATGCGATGATTGAATGATGACTAGTATTTGTGTTTTAATTTGATTATGTGTTTGAATCTCTCATGACATCTCGTATAACAGGCATCCCATGGACTCTATTTACAGACAATTTTTTGTTAATTTAATTTGTGAACACTTTTTTTAATCAATACCTCTCGCTATCACTAGAGAAACACTAACTTATTCGCTAATAGTATGTAATCATAGCTTTGGATTTGAAACCTTATATTTTTGTTAATGTTTTTTGTACCGACTATATTCCAAATGTATTGAATCCCTGTCCCCTTCTCTCTATCGTAACTATAGCTTAGTTTCACAATTGGATTTCATTTTAGCGAACAATGACTTCAAATCAAACAAAAAAAAGTAAACTATAATTGCAATCAAACAATCACTAAACTATTGCGAACTTTTTTCCTGCTCTCTCGCAGTCTCTCTCTCTCTCTCTCTCTCTCTCTCGAAAATAACAATTTGTATTTTATTTAATACATTCATTCATATCCTGTTTTAAAATGCCTACACATAGAGCCATACTCTGGGCGAACAGGGCTTTGCCATCACAACCCTTGATGTGGTGTTGTTGTGATATTTGAATACCTGTTTCTCTCTTATGATGGCAAAAGCAGTTGCCAAACAAAAAAACATGTATTTATTTTATGTGT